GAGTTATAGTGATGTGTTTGGAATGACATACACAAAAAATGACATAAAAACCACATTTGTTGCTCTATTTTCAAAATTTTTGGTGTTCCTGAGAGCTTAAGATGTGTATAAGAGACAGTACATACATTTCATCAGAAGTCAATGGAGCATTGGCAAGCCAAGCCAAAGTTCCAATCAAAAGTCAAGGTTCTCAATCTAAGATTTGTGATATTTTCTGTGTCCTTTAATAGGTAGGGCTATCTTTATAGTTTCAATCAGAAAGGTGTTACCGATGAAATGATAAAGTTAGAAATGTTTTTAGGAAATGTTACGACCAAACTGCACTTAAGTTACAATAGAGGAAAACGAGTACTGCAGTGATGAGTGTGGTCTCAAGTTGGATTCCAAGTATGAAGCATTTTAAATGATCGCTACAGCTGTTTATCTTAATGTTCCCCAAGGGGGTATTATGTCCTAGCCTAGCCAAGCCAAGCTACTAGTTAAACGATGCAGGTCACATTCAGTCTCTTCCTTGTGTGATAGGTGGCAGCATATAGGCTAAAATTGGTCTTGGTATATTTTCAGAATGCATATTTTTTCTATTGAATTATAGTGATGTGTTTGGAATGACATACACAAAAAATGACATAAAAACCACATTTGTTGCTCTATTTTCAAAATTTTTGGTGTTCCTGAGAGCTTGAATTCCCTGTCCCTTCATATTATGATTCTGACAATAATAACTTAATAAGTGGCAGTATATAGGCTAAAAATGTGAAAAAAATGTTTTTTTTATTTGTTTTGGTGGCAATTTTGAATACGTAATGAGGTCACATGACCTATAAAAAAATTAATTATCCACATTTTTTTTCTACTATGTGTCCTAATTAAGAAAATATATAATTGTCTTATGTTTAAAGCTATATTTAGAGCAATATTATTATTTTTCTGAAAAGTGTCAATTTAATTTTTTTTAAATAGGGGATAGTACAGGTTATTAATATGAATCTGTGTGAAATTTAAAGCACTTTAATATTAATCTGTTTGAAATTTAAAGTACTCTAAAATATTATTCTGTGTGAAATTTATATCACTTTAATTTTTTAATCTATGTGAAATTTAAAACATTCTAATATGTTTTCTTGTTTTTACATGACTATTTTTTTCATCCATAGCCGGGTTTTGTTTTCGTCCTCAGCAAATCAAACAACGGCAGCAGAGTCCATGCAAGAAGAAGAATAAGGAAGAGCTGGAAGCAAGAGGTGAAAAATTTACTGGATTACTTTTTCATTTGAAATGTATTTATTTAATTTTTCTTTATAATGTATTTTAATATCGAATCAATTGTAAGTGTTGTACCAACATTTTACATCAAAAGCTAAATAGAAATTTCTGTCCTCATACAAAAAATAAAACAAATTGAATTTACGTCTTGAGCAAGAAGAAGCCTCCTTTGTCGATTGGTATATTAATAAATCGTAAAGAGTATCTGGAACACCTAATAGATGACTTGTTAAATGTTTTCTTACTATTTCGTTGATATCAGAACACAGATGAGGAGGAGGCGGAGCAAATTAAATACTGTGTCATCTGGTCTGCCAAGAGTCATCAGACATTTTCAAAGATTTTCATTTAAGGTATGATCAATTGTTTGATTTGTGTGTTAAGAACTATATCATATGATTCAATCTTGAGTAATCATGATATACATTTTTTTGTAATACTTGACCGAGTTACTTCAAATTCAATATTAAGTATGAACAATTAAGGAATTAATTGAATCAATGGACCCTCATAAACTCAACAAACTGAACGTTTAATAGGAATATTCTAGACCTGTTTTAAAGACTCAAGGAACACATTTAGATGTAGGCCTACAGCCAGGCAAGAGGCCACCCAGGCCTCCTCCTAATACTAGGCATGGCCTAGCCTACTTATGATATCATCGCACGATTTTACCTGTCTGCATGCACCGACCAAAGAGGTCAGTGACTGTATTCTCTCTCAAATGCTGAAAAATGTTTATTTCTTTGACGAAAGTCTATCAAAATAGCATTACAAACAAGTTCTTTCGAACACAACCCAAATTACAATAATTATTCATCGTATCCATACTGTACTGCTGATGAGTAGTTAATAAAACGCGTACAGCAGGAGCAAAAATCAGCATACGCTCAGCACACACACACGCACACGTATACTGATCATATCACTATAGCAACAGTTGGTTATCAAAAAATGAAATTAAAAGACGGCAATTGACTTATTAAGCAATTAGTAGAGCATGAATCATACGCTGATGGAAAATTAGGTTACATTTAATGCATTCAAAAATTTCCTTTAGGCCTTGCAGGCCCTCAGCAAATTTTTGCAAGCATTGAATCCAACCTCTGTATAATGATTTTCCTATAGTGTACTATGCAGAGCTCTACTAATTGGTTATTATACTGTACATACGTATCAGATTCAGGTATTTTTTTTGTCAAAGTACACATTAATATCTATAAATTTATTGGTTGAATACAGATTACATTTAAGATGAATGCAAACTAAAGCTAAGCTTAACTACTATCATATACAGTATATCCTTTTTATGATGATGAAATAATAAAATGCTTACCACCTCCCCCCCCCCCTAATTTTAAATATTTCCCTGTCCCACCACTTTGAATCAGATTATTTAGGCAGATTCAAGTTTGTAAGAAAAATTAAATATAACATGTATATGCATTATATGATTAAAAACTTACACTACAAAAATATAAAATCATAAGGTAAGTGTGTGATTCAAATTTGATGAGAACTACACTGTAAACAACTGAGGTTTGCAGATTATTGTAATTTGTTTAACAGGTTTATAATCATTATGCCAATTATAGTATTCAATAATTATTTTAAGTTTAAGATCCATAACTTAACTCTATGTGGATGATATGAAATAATGGATATGTAGATATTCCTACACTTATAAATTTGAATTGTTGAAAACAAACAAGTGAAGCAAGTGGACTGTCAGTATTTAATAATTGAATATTTTTAGTGCTTTGTCACCATAATTTGCTACTGCAAGTCTCCTTGGATGATATGAAATGATGGATAATCCACTTGGATATTGGATTCTATCTTCTGGTTTATCAATTCTTTTTATGAAATTTCCATCACTACTGAATAGCTGTAGTTTGTGTTCACTTGATATAATGATGTTGTCATCCTCATCAACTACTACTGCAATTGGAGAATTTACCTTACCATCCTCATCACCTGCTTCAACAAGGACTTTTATAAACCTTCCCTCATTATTATATATTCTTAATCTATCATTGCCATTGTCCAATACAAGAAGGTGTCCTTGGTTAGTAAGAGTAACATCACTGACATCACTCATTTGACCTTCTTCTTTACCATATGACCCTATTGTTTTGATGGTCTTGCCATTATTCATGTCAAACATGTACACACTGCTACTGGACCAACTACTTGCTGCTGCATACAAAACATTTGATGTCTCATCCACATGAATGCTCCGTGGAGTATTCTGTACTCCCACACTAATTGTTTTAATCAGCTGACCATTCATATTGCATATTCTGATAGGTTCATTAGCATAGCAATCACTGAATGCTATGTTACCATTCTTCATTTTGTACATTCTGTAAACTTCCACACCTTGTGGTAGTGTAACCTTACCAATATATTCTCCTGATTGCTTGTACTTGAGCATTTCATTTGTCTCACATGAAACCAGTAAGGAGTCATCTTCACACTTAACTACATCTCTAATACTTGTTGCATTTATTTTAATAGTATTTACTAATCTTCCCTCTTCTACTTTGATTGTCATTGGTGATTGGTTAATTGGTTCATCATCAGCACTCACATCTAGTTTATAAACTCCTGGACTTGTACATTTTCCTGTCACAAAATAATCTCCATTGTCATCTTCCTGAATTTGAGAGATGTTGGTTTCCCCTGTAGGTTGTGTCCATGTTGCCTTCAGTTGATTTGCATATTTTTCATGTTCATCTGTTTTGACAATTTTGACTATAATTGTCTGATCTTTGATCACAGATTCCTCTCCTTCTAATGTTAAACAGTCTGCTGCCCTCAAATCTTTTACAGTCCCTATAGCACATTGTCTCAATGAAGTCATTTGCTGTTTGTTTATGAAGTAGTAAATTTCTCCATTATCATCTGGCTCTGTTTTTGGTAATTCATTTATTCTGTCCTTGAGTGCTGTAATTACTGTTTCACTTGACTGCATTGCAGTGCCTTCATCACTCTTCAATAATTGATTAAGAAAAGACAGTTTTGTTTTTATATCGGATAATATTGCTTTAAATTCATCCATTTTTACATCATTTACCTTCTTTTTTCTTTTGTAGATTGTCTCTACTTCATTTTTCATTTTGTCTCTCTTCTGTTTTACTTTTTTGAATATTTCTTCTACATGATTGTCTATATCTATTAAACATGTGTCTTTATTTTGTTGTAATTTTGTAGCATTGTGGATAACAGCTTTGAGACCGCCTTCTAATTTGTTTATGAAGTGTTGGGCAGATTTTTCCAAGGTGGATGAAGTTTTTTTAAATGTTTGGAATGCGTCTGAAATGTTGATTGGTTTGTGTTTTCCTTCCCATTCCTTGTGGTCCATTATTGTACAGTTCACACAGATTGGAGTTTTACAGTCTGTGCAGTAGAACTCCAAAGGTTTACTGTGATGTGAACACAGAGGTGGATGTAACAAAGTCATCTGAGAGGGGCTCATTGATTGCACATCCTCCATTAAATGTAACTTGTGATTTGTCTTAAAGCAGATGGTACACTCTAAGACCTTCTCATCAACATGTTCCAGAAACTGATTCAACTTACTGGTAGCCATCTTGAATTGATATCCTGTGAAATTTAAATAATAGGTAATATAATTATTATCATTTGAACTGAATAAATAATAATGTCATGCAATTATAGTCTGATGATCCTATAGAAAATAATGGCTTGTATCTCCTATTTTGTATAGGGTCTGAAGTAACTTGACAATAATTGCTTTATTAAGTCAGTTAAATATAAATGTATGGTACTGTATATATAATCAAACTACTGGTCATGGTGGCTAGTTGTCCAGTGATCAATACAGGACCTGTGCATGTGTATTAGCTGCATGTCTGAGACGGTTTACTTACATGTACAGGGGAATATATAAGCAACAGTATTTTCCCACAGTCTCACCTGGCCATTGGCTTTCTAGCCTTGATAGTGTGTAGCCAAGCATGAAACTTGAAATAAATGGCATGATGGTACATTGTTTAGTATTGCTCCTAACAATTTTTTTTTCTAAAAGGTTACTTTTGATGATTTTATTTAGTTTAAAAGTTCACAGGGGTGGCTCCAAGATTTGCCTGATGGGATGTTTGAGGTCCCCAAAACATGAGGTGGATATGGCCCTTAGATTCTTTTCCCCAACAAGATGGAAGATTTTGCTGTCAAGAGCAAAGTGGGAGTGGTCGAGTGTCGCTTAAAATGTTCCGAAAGAGGGGGGGGGCGGCGGGGGGGGGGGGGGGGGGGGGGGGGGGGGCGAAGTCCATTGGGTGAAGCCTCAGAAAAATTTGACAATTTAGGGGTTTCAATTTTAGTGTCTACTACTATGTGCAAAATACATATAAATTTTTTTCTTCTTGGCAAATTGTGGTTTTTCTTCATGAAGGGTGGCCCTGGCCGCATTATTTTTTCCCCCATACGGTTCAGGCAGAAATTATAGAGGGCACTATTTAAGGTCATTTAGGTGAATTGATAACATAAATAATGCATGCATGCTTGACACTTCTTCTCATCAGTCGCGAATGTGGTGTGGTGTTCGCTGCTTGTGGAATATGAAGTTAGGGCATGGAGGACTTAGTTTAGAAACTAAACTAATTCTTCCATGGTTAGTGTAGGCCAAAATCTCTTGGTAGTCGGTCAAGAGGAAAGTGTAAACAGTCGATACATAGTGAACTACCGTAATTGACTATTACTGTAATTACAAGATAGTATAATATATACTCCAAGTATCGAAATGCACACTATTGTGTCGGGATTCAATATTTCGACATTAATTTTGTCAATAGCTGTAATTACAATCGGCAGCGTTAACGTACAACATGGTCTTTAAAAGTATAAAAGGGCAGCGCTGAATTTCTGGTCGATTATTTGAGTAGTGTAAATTATAGCAATAATTAAATACTATAGTACTACCGTACTGATTCTAAAGGAAAGTTTAGAAATGTTCAGACACTCAGGTACAATTCTATGTATTGTTTTAATGTTGACTTCTTACAAATAGCTGATACAAATATTGATTTTTTGTATTCTTCAAACCTTTTAATCTATGAGTGCATTTTAAAAATTAATGGAGTGATGTATGCACTCCCAGCTTCCATCTCTGCTTTTGTGCAGTGGCTCATTTTTCGGACCCCTTTTTCTGTCACGCTGGACCCTTCGTTAGAAAAAATTCTGGTGCCACCGCTGCTTCGCTGTGATAATGCTTTTAACATTGGTATTTTTAATTTTTTGCACAAATTTCAGCTACCATATTTTAATCTAACCTCTGTGACGATGCAAATATACATATTCTTAAGCTGGGCTTATGCGCCCTTGTGACTCGACTCAACTCAACTGACATCAACTGACATTTGGCAACTTGCCAGCAACTGGCAAGCAACTGTGAGTCACATGACTGAGACTGACATAAGCGCACTTTGCGATCGAAAGCAACTGAAAAGCAACTGGAAATTGCCATTTGCGAGGCTCAGTTGCTTTCAGTCGCCCATGTTCTGTATTGTAGCGATTCAAAAAACTGTCGATTATAAAGTTACGTCTACCGCCGATAATAATTTGGCGTGGTTGATGTAAAATATACTGGTGTTTACAAGACTTCTGTAATACCATAAAACCTCGAATTGAAACCCTGGGTTTTTAATTTTTTTTAATTATTTATTTAATTTTTTTTTTTTTTTAACCTTTGGATGCACGCCCCTGCTTCTTTTTAAAATGAATGCTGTAAATTTGGTGAATTTGTACTACTAAACAATTAAGTATGGCCACTTTAACATCAATCTGTATCATGGAGTGTATCAATTTAACTGGCATTAAATCATCTAAACAACTCTATAAACCAAGCCTTTTTTAATTTATTTTGTTTTCTGAATTTCATGGACAGTGTATATTACTATGCTATCTTGAAAAGAAGCCTAATAGCCTATTATTGTGCCTATTATAGTCATAATAAGAAGATGGAATTGTTATTGTCGTGATGGAATAGACAAATAACTTGATTTGCGTCAAGAGAAACATATATAGGTGTAATTTTGCCCTACCTGACGTGTAAATATACTGAATACTCAGTACGTTGAAAACAATTGCGAAAAAAAAAATTGCAAGCTGTTCTCGGGTGGGACTCGAACCCACAATCTCCAGATCACTGTTTTACTAAGTAAGTATTCAGTACATTTACAGGTAGGTAGGGCAAAATTACACCTATACATAATAATTAAGAAGCCTCTACAAATGCACAACAATTGACCATTAGCCATTTTTGCAAATTTTAGTAAACTTTTTTTTTTTTATAAGACATCATTTACAGATCATTAGAACATGATCTCAGGGTGGTGGAAATAAATCCTTAGCAATATCGGCTATATTAATGTGATTAGCGAAATTGAAGTTTAATTAGCACAGAAACAGACTGATTGAAAATCTTTAGCCATAACTAGTACACTATTAGCCTATCTAGACTAGAGCTTAGTTTATAAAATTGTGGGAAGTCTGTGCAACATGTTTTTTTTTAATTTATTATTCATGGTATATTTTATTCAAAACGATACAAAAAGGAGAAAGCAAGTGACAAAAAAGTGAATTGTAGCCAAGGCTAAATTGCTCACAATTTACAATCAATTAAAAATTAAGAAAAAGGCATTAAAAATTTACAAACATTTAAAAATTTTAAAGAGAATATAAAAATATAGCATATATTGAGAAAAAAAAAAGGGGATAACAATAAAGACAACAGGATAAAAATACAAATTTACAAACTCGTGTAAAAATCGATTAAATAAATATTGCAATAATTATAAATAAAAATGACCATAAAATTGAGTGATCAGGATGAGTAGGACAAATCTAATAACAAATTTGTTTTTCTTTTAGGAATCATGATATTGTTGCTTCGTTTCAAATTAAATCTTTTCTCGACATCAAGTTAATTATTATTGTTATTGTTATAATTATATTAATCGTTATTAATTGTTATATTATCGAATTGAGTAATCTTGTGAAGTACGGGATAGGACTATTTTTATATCTATTCGTTTCGCTTTTATTTTTAACAGTAGGTTAAACAAATTGATTTTTTAGATACAAACTATTACAATTATAATAATTAATAAAATTTCTAAATGTAAAGATATTTATAGCAAATGGTAGTCGATTAGGTATTGGCATATTATCTGTTTGTTTTCCATTTTGATAACACAATATGCATTTTTATAATAATTTATATATGCCTATTATGGTTATATAGACAGGATTTTTGCATTTATTTATACATTTTGAAAAGGTATATATATATATATATATATATACACACACACACACACACACACACTAATTTCAGTGCATTATATTTGCTTTGTCAATAAATATGCCAAGTTTATGGAGGCCGTAATTATTTAAGTTAAAGATACTCGAATGTAATTTGAATGTTAACTATCTTTGCATAATTATGTCACAGAAATTAAATGACTGTTCAATACAAAATTTATGAAAATGTGGGACTATGGTACTGTGTATCGACCTCCATCTATGAAGTTGTGTCCCTTCCCCCTCCCCCCATTTCCTGGACTTCCACTGACAAAAAGATTTAATACTGTTTATATTATATCTTCAAAATCTATTAAGACCTCAAAATATCAAAAATATCTGGGCTCGATGGAGCTCCGCCCACTCAACCCCAAAAAGGTTCTGTTGCTTGGTAGCCCATAGTCATTTTGGTCCACTTTCCACAAATTTCCCAATAAAAACCTGTGTACAGGCCTGATTTATGTCTGAAACGTTGTTTAATATTTAGTAGGCCTGTATATACCTCTATCAAAATTTTTTCAAATCTGTTGATCTGAAATGTTTTCATAATATGCCAGTGCTTTCATCTCAGATAACATAATAATTTGGTTCAGTATTTTAATTTGTTTGAACCATTAAGATATTGATTGGATCTATTGCACTGAACAACATAAATTAAATTAATATAATATTTACCTTAAAATTCTCTGTTAAGTTTTAGGTGTGCATGAAGTGTCTGCAAAAATAGAAATGGGTTTTTCCAGGTTAGTCATGTGACCTTATAGGCTGGTTTCTTTGTCAGTGCAATCAAGCATGACATGATGAAATCAGTCATGCAGTGACTTAGAACTGCTGTAAAGTTCAGGTACTGTAGCGTATTCATTGTTCTAGCTGATATCAATCCAAGTCAAAACTTATATTCAGGTTGCAGTTAAAAAATAGGCTCCCAGAGGGAGCATGTGTCTACTGCCTTATACAGGAGTTTTTATTTTTGAATTTAATCTTGCGTTCTTCAATATGCAGATGTGTTTGTCATTGTAGTGTATCTGAATTTTTTGTGAAAATTGTCTTAACAATATTCTGTGTACTACTAGGCCCACTGTATTATATTGAACTAAAAAAGATTAACATTCATGGCAAACGCGTGCTGCGTCTCTATAACGCATGTTCGAGTTTGAACGCAATTATGTTCGAATTCCAAACGCTAT